CTCTTATTAGCAGTTTATGACTAATGCCACTGCAGAAATCAAAACAATGTGAGTTTAAATAATGCATAAAGTACTACGCTACAACTACAATTTGATTTTTATATTTTACGGTTTCCTTTGGTGAAATGGTATTTGAGGGGACGATTTGTATTTTATTGGCAGTTTCCATTAAGAGACCATAGTCAGCCAGCTATCAAACATACTTGCTTTTTGCTGTCTTATTTCTGTGTTATGTCGTACGTAGTAAACTTGACTGAAAGATGCCCAGGCGTGCTTACTCATTAAACAGGTTCAGGCTAGACTTACTTTAAATTGTTGATGCTGAGATCAGTTATGTGCTCAGAAGTCTTTAGCTACCATTTTCCAGGAAAAAAAAAATCAATGCGTCAAAGTGTCTGAATAGTGGAATTTCCCTCAAATTTATGAACAAATCCCCATAACAATCAGTAAAAAATCAGGGCATGGAACCACAGTGACTTGCAGGCTGTAGGCTTCCCGCTATAAACTGAAAGAAAATCTCTGAGAAATAATCCAAAATACAGTAAATTACATAATCGGAGCCAAATAGTTGCCTTCTGGATGAACTAAGGAGGCAGAGACAATCTCATGTTCAACGTGCTTATTAATTTCAGTTTTGAATAAATTTCAGCCACGTCGTCACCAAGCATCAATATGATTTATTTAATAGCTGACAAACAATACTGGTTGCTTTTCACCACAAAGCATTACGGTTATCCTGAAGCATAGAAAATCTGCATGATCCTATAGAACGGTGTGTTGAGAGAGGTGCTAAACAAACATATATAGGCCTTTTTTATACTGGTATTTTCTAGACTTGTATTTTTATACAATTTATACTGGTGAATATTCACCTATCCACCCATCCATTACTCTTTCAATTGTTTCTCCAGTATGGGGGGAGGGGGGCCCTCAGGCAGGCAGGGTTACACCCTGGAATGGATGCCAGTCCATCACAGCACTTACACAGTCACACAGTATGAATGTGTAATAAATGAATTTGAGTAGACAATCTTAGCTTTAATTCAGATTATAAAGCCAGTAGACAACAGTTCTGCTAATTGGTAATGTACTTACAGTATACCATGGAATGCATAAAACTTGCAAAACCTTAAAAACACTTGTTTTCCAAAGAAGTCCAAATTACAGAACCATGCATCCAGTACTGGTGAATATTTCTACCTTAAAAACAGAAAAAAAAAAAAACTAGAAAAACTACATAAACAATGATAGGAAAAGCTTTTCCTATTGCATATGTGCGTGTACTTTGATACAGTATTTTTATATGTATTTTACATTTCTATTTACCCTTCAAAAAATCTGATTTTGGGACAATAGGCACAGTTCACCACTACAATCAATGTTATTGCAGCACACGATCATTCCAGATGGTAAGTGTTTGTTAGCAGACTATAGGGACCTTAAATATCAAGGTTACGAAATGGCCAGGACCAACTGAATACAATCAAATATTGTTTTTGTGCCCATTCCTGTTTCTGTATCATCAGATTACTATCTGAATAGCCAGCAGTATACTTTCTAAGCACCATGCATCTTTCTATTATTGCCATTAAAGGGATTTTAATTAAATTACACCAACTTCAATTTCCTTTTCCATAACACTGCAGGCCATATCCTTTGTTCTTTTACAGTGCAGTTTTTTGCCTTTTGTAATCACATTTTGTATTACAATGCCCTAAGTACAGAGAAGACATTTCCATAGTAATAACACTTGTAACCCCCCAGGCCCAAAAAACACCCCCCAATAGGTACAGAAATGTGTACATCAAGCACGAAATACCAGGGGGGACAAGGGTGAATTCAAAGGGCTAATTTTGTTACCTTATTATTTTGATTGATTGTAACATTGATGGATAGTAACACGACACATTTGTTGTCTCATGAGCGCTACATGCTGTATAGTACAAAATGAAGAGTGTCATTAACGGCACCTCTGTCATGCGCCCTGTATAGAGTCAGAGTGGATGTGGGTTTAGTACTAGCAGTTTGCTCTGTTCATTCCAGACCCGGTTCTGGAATATTTACTGTACCCTGTGTTTGCCCTCGGATCCGCCTCAGCAGCATGGGCTCAGAGAGCATGTGTCATATATATATATAATGACATATAAATATATATATTTTTTTATAGTTTAAGCCTTACAATACCACTCCCACATGCTTTAAACACATGTGAACATATTAAAACGCACTTTGTAAACACATATGATATGTGGATGTCGGGCTAAGGATATGAGTAACATAATATGTAATGTATTTGTATTTACAGTATATACACATCTCTCTCTCAAGCAAGGTGCGCGATACGCAGAGAACTGTGATGCATCGAGGAAAAATCTGCGATACAGCGGGGGCGCGTTACTCTGTTTCTGTGGGGAGGGGGGGGTTGGTATTTCTATAATGTGAATTACAATTTTTTGAATATTTAAACGTATAACTTATTGACTTACTGAATTAATAAATTAATTTATTGTTTTAATAATATGGAATCTTATTTTTCTATTCAATCCCATGATTTTGAGGTATACCAGATATATCGAATGGATTTACCTTGACAGTAAAATGGATTATCAGTTCTTTCTTTCGTCAGTATTGATATGAGACCTTTCAGAGAACACGTCTTAATAACTGAAGTATTTAAATACTACATACACGTTTTTGTCTTAATAACTTGGCCTTTGGACTTAAAGCTACCTCCTGAGGTTTAGCTGACCACGCCCTCACAGAAACTGACAAAACCATCCGACTGCAAATGCCTGAAATTGTGAGACTCTAAACAAACATAATACATCAGACATGGCACAGTATCGCTATTTGTTCATGCGGTCCTCTAATCTACAGGAGATGAGGCAAATACCCTGCATAGACCTCTGTAGCTCCAACAATAGAAGGCTGGGCCAGGTCCTATGAATAAATGACTAATTTGAGTCTCAGTTCAACTGTAAGGTCAACACTGATAGTTTCTGTCCACCCTAAGAAGCAGGATCTCACTGTAATAGAAGCCGGAGGACCCCCCCCCCCCACCCCCCAAATAATTACAACAACTGTGATACAGAGGGTTGTTCTCCTTTATATACTTTGGACAACCCACGGGAAATAACAGACATGACAGTGAAGTATTGTGAAGTATTGTGAAGTATAGAGAGACAGGAAGTAAAGTATAGAAAAGTATTACCCACTGCTACACCCAGGGGCATCGGGGGTATGGATACCCAGGTAGATTCAAGGTCCCAACACTTCATAGGGGGCCCAAAATCCAAAATTTACCGTGGAGGACCTCCCTGCTTGGCAAAACCTACCAAGTTATTTTTCAGATTGAAAGTGCCAACCGATGCAGAGGGTGCATCTGCGAAAATCAGGGCAACCCTATAGGCCATACAAAGCTGACGGCAAAGTACGGTGAGTCTCCGAAGGGTCCAAGAAAATAATGTCATCTGATACAGTTTCTCTCAACTACTTTGGCACATTTCATGAAGCATACATAACATTACTAGGACTATTAAGTGCATTTTTCAAAAGAGTTTATACATAAAAAGAACAAAATGGCATCAAAGTCTTGTGCCGTGAAAACCAAAAATACAACAGTGCCATATGACCAAAATTTAAGGAATATTCTGGAATCATTCTGAAAGTTTGAAGAGCTTTTATGCATGTGGTGGATTATAGGACAGTCACTTAGTTATATCGTCTTGGGTGAAAATGAACCGGGAATCTACATAATCTGTCAAGACTTAAGAAACTGATTCATCCATGTATTTTCTGTAACTGCTTGTCCTATTCAGGGTCATGGAGCCTATACTATAGGCTGCTGGCACAAGGCAGAGAACAACCCAGGATGGGGGGGCAGCCCATCGCAGGGCACACTCACATGCCACTCACTCACACATGCACACCTACGGGCAGTTTGGTAACTCCAGTTAACCTCGGCATGTTATTGTACAGTGGAGGGGACTGGAGTACCCAGAGCAAACCTCACGACGACACGGGGAGAACATTCACACTCCACACACATGGAGCCATGGTGGAGACTCGAACCCTGGTCCCAGAGGAGTGAGGCAACAATACTAACCACTGCACCCCCATGCAGCCCCTTAAGAAACTGAATATTTTTCGAAACAAGGACACTTGTACAGTACATGATCATTTGCAAACATGCAGTAAAACGTTTGCAGTTTAAGCAAAACAGTGAGACATAATGTTCTGCTGAGCATGAGTGACTTCATGGCGTGGAGGTTATACACATTGTTCTAAAAATGTCAAGTGTCATTTGAGAAATGTGTCAAAACCTTAATCGAGAAAAGCTGTAAACCAGAACTGAAGCGTAGCCAAACTGAATTATTCTAGGCCTGAATTCTAGAACAGGATCCAAAGCAATTAAATTAATGTATATATGAACAAAAGGACAATCATGATTTTTGCTCTCCAAATATGCCAAGGCTTTTTCCAGCTTGACTTTTAAATGATTATTATGTAGTATTTTGATGTTACATTTGTGTGACAATGACTTTTCCCTGATTATATGACAATGAATGGTTTAAATATCAAATTTATCCTTCAGAAAAGCCAGTCTGAAAATCTGATCACCTGCCACCACTTCATATTTCTTTATTAAATTGGTGGCTATTGAGCACCAGGAAATGATGTCACTTCCTCTTGTAGCTTTTGATTAAAATACTATTTTGGAAATCATTACTATGTTTAAGTCTCAGAACCATGATTTGTGTAGTGCTGCGTGCTACTCAGCAATAACGAAACAAGTGGAGCTTTTTCCTGAAATGTTTAAAATCATCAAGTGTGTCAATGTCAAACTTTGTTGCTAGTGGCACTGACAGTGAATAACGGGGCCAAAGTAAATGTTCTTAGAGCATTAAAATTAATATTTCTGTTCTAGAGATCCACCTTTACTACATGTACTGTCTCAAGGCAGTGTCAGTCTATTGCTTTTTTAATGATACATTCAGAACAGTCTGAAGGTAAATTGTACCTAAGGCCTCCCAGCTGGACTCAGGAATTTCGCGGTGGGCAGCCATAGTGAAGGCATTCCCGTTGGAGAGGTTGGTAGGCTGAAGCGAACATCTGAAGCTAATGAACCAGGGGAGAGATTTCCTTAACGCTCAGTTGTTTCATGCCTTACAGGATGCTGAGATGTCACTGGAGCTTTTCAGGACTGAGGAAGTCAACGAAGCAATGCAGAACCATTCAAAAAGGACCATGTGATGCAGATACATCACATGGTCACCACCGCACCTGGCCCACTCATTTATCACGATGTCCTCTGTGTCTGCTCTGCCAAGCAGAGCCTTCAGTGCCAGTGCCACTGCGCACACGAGATGACTTTGAAATATGACTTCCCATAGCAATAACTCATGAAGAGAAAGATCTGGAAATCCACTGGTAAAGATATTATCGGACAATGCTGTGTCACAAATTGCATGCATAATGTTGGGATTGGATCTCACGATCAGCTTGTGATATTTTGTCAGTTGCGCCTCATGACCCTGATTAGGATACATTTTTAGAAGATCGATGGATGTACTGTACTGTATATATGAATGTTTAATGGTATTCTGTTACTGATCTCTCTCCCAACCAATAAAAGAAGCAAATATGGGCTTCAATATGTCACCAATACAAGTACAAATACCTGCAGTGCACCCTTTGTTTACACCCTTTTGTTGTACAGTTTCCTTAGAATGTTTCCACGTATAATCAATTTAAGAGACAAAAGAGCTCTGTCGTTTTATTTGACTAAATTCAACGTTGTTGCCAGTACAAAGTTTGTATACAAACAATAGTTCGTTCTTAAATTTCATGAAAATCAATGGAGTAATTTTACACTACTAAAAAATTTATAACCATTCGTTTAATAGATTTTTTCATATAATTGACGAAAAATGTTCAATCCATTCCAGATGTTTCTTTAAATATATGCATTTCCCATATTTCCACTTATCCCCAAGTTAAATATTTTATCGGCTTTAACTGTCGTTGTGCTTTTATTTCCACACACTGACTAGCCTCACTGTACCAGTGCTTACCCATACCCCGGTTACCAAATCAGCTATTTACTTAAAAAAACAGACAGATGGCTTTTTTCCGAGCATTGAACTTAAGACTTTCATATCTTCGCTGAGAACATAAAGGTTTTACTGAGAAAATATATAACTTATATATAATATGTGTTACGTACTAGTAACTGCATAATCATCCGGTTATGCAGTATAGTTAGGTACTTTCGAGCGATTGTGCTTAAGAGCTATTATTCACACACTGTAACTTAAATGAAACCCCCATCATTTTCGCTGTGATATGAAAAACGGATTTAGTGAGCCGTCATTAGAAGCAGCCATGCGGCACAAACCTGCCATTATATTCATCAATGGCTAAATAAAATCACCATCACCGCAGATTTTCAAAAGTTATAGGGGTTGAAACGACAGAGATGTGTTACATATCTTCCACATAAACGTAATATGTCTGCTTGCTGCTTTTTTCCATTGATTTTAGAAATGTATTAAGTAAACGAATACATTTCGAAAGTTTAAAATAACAACACAATACATTTCAATACATCGTTGCATTGCAAAACATTCAATTTTAAGAATTCCCAATGAAGAGCAAGGCTTAAACAAAAGTTTCATCAACATTCAATAGCCCTTCAGCAATCCAGTTACTTAGTTACCAGTCCTATTTAAAAAGCACCTACTTACTTTTCAGCGCCGCAATAAGCGTATTCCCGTCTTTTATCAGTTCTTTAATGAACTTGTTGGTGAGGTCGAGCTCAATTTCATGACACTTAAGACGTTCCCTGAAATCTGGACTGTCTAGGAAAGAATCGCTGAATTCCAGTGTTGGCAATCCCATTTTCCTTATAGCAGAGTAAACTGAAATACAACCAGAATCCTTCAAAACGACGCCAATAATTTACTCTTTGTTACATGAAGAATAGAAATTCAGCTGTTTTTCTCCTGGCTCGCACCGCTGGAAATGTTGCCGCTGAATAGAATTACAATAAACTGTATGAACTTTTCTTTACCTCCCCCTTTTCTTAGTACTTCCGGCAGTTATTCTCCTCTGCGGCTTTATAGGGCATAATGAGTAAAAACTCTCGGATTAAGCAGTGGCCATGTGACTCCTAGCGGACTATTAGAGAAGTTTACCGCATCCTCTGCTTCACCGTTAGAGTATTTGGATCTTTGGGTAGCGAAGTTCAACAATTTTCGGCACGAAACCTTTTCTGAAAATTTTAGTAAAAGGAATTAAATAAAATCATTTTTTAAATATAAAGCCTATTGCAACTACCTCACCATCAATCCATCTACATACCTATCCAGCACAGGGTTGGTGGTTGGTAATGGATCCTATTGCAGGCAACATTAACCATGGCATGCCAGTCCATCTGAGGGCACACTCTGGCACACACACGTTCACACACTATAGTCAAGTTAGTTCTTTGGTTTTTGTTCCAAACATTAATGATCGTGGACTATAGTGTTTCTTGAAGATTCTAAGGCTAAAAATGTTAAATGAATGAAATCTATTTTAAATGGTTCAAAACGTAGAACTGCACAGAGCTATCAGCTCAGACCTCCAGTGTTGTATTTTTGTGTATGGAATTTGCATGTCTACTTCTACTGGGCAATCTAGCTGGTAAAAAACACACTGATCGGTGGCTGTTGTTTGTGTGTGTGTGTGTGTGTGTGTGTGTGGTGAGCTGTGATGGACTGGCATCTGTGATGAACGAGGCAGAGTTCCAACTGCAGAACAATCCTCGATGGCTTTATTTTACCATACACCAAAACAATGTCCAGAACCAATATTCATAAAATGGCCAGAGTAGTCCGTAAACCAAACGGAGACACAACCAAGAACAGAATCAAAATCCAAAGGTTTAATGTCAAGTAATCAGGTAAAGAGTCTAATAACATGAGTAACACAAATTCACTAGGAAAATGGTCACTATAGAATGGACCTTACAATACAATGAGGTCCTGAAAATGACTGGTAAATAATTAGTGAGACAGGAAATAGCAACCAGGTGATTTTTACTTAACACAGGGAGGTGATCCGGACAGAGCAGAAGGTTATATGGAAGATCTGGCTTGACTCCTGGAGTCTGACACCTGATTGTAACCCCTTCTCCATGCGTGGCTCCTGATGCCTTGGTGCTCCATTGTAGTGGACAGCCAGAATTCTGTGGTCTGGGTTGTCCCAGTAAAAATCGGTTATGAGTGAGGGGTCCAGGATATCCCCTGCTGGAGGCCAAGATTTCTCCTCAGGGTCATAGCCCACACAGTCCATTAAATTTTACAGCTGCCCACAAGACATGGACAGAGTAGCCAGGTTCACCACTGACATCTACAGCTTTAGAGGACACATGGAATGTAGGGTCAATCTGGCAGTGATGAGAACAAGTCATTACTTGGCGAGTCAAAACATTGCAGTCCAAGTCAAGTCTCAAGTCATTTGCCCTTAAGTCTAAGTTGAGTCCAAGTCTTTCCGTCATTTGTGACCAGTCATCAAATTTGTGACTTGAGTCCAAGTTGAGGTGTGAGTTATGTAACTTGTGTCCCTACCTATGTCCTTTAGTGATTAAATCTTGTTGCAGCAAAAACTACCTCAGTACTTCATAGTCTCCACTCACAGTTGTCCTCACACAGTGTTTATATCCGTGTACATGCAGGGAGTGACACATCTTTCCAACAAACTATCTCAGGAGACCTTGCATTCAGCCAATTGAAGAGGCAGACAGCAGAGAATTAATATACACAGAAATTATAAAATTAACATTACATTATCCAGAAGGGATCAAGCTGTTAGGTTTAATGAATAGCATCTCGTTGAGTCATAGGGTCCAAGTCTGTTTGTTGCCCTCAAATTAATGACTTGAGTCTGAGTCGAGTCGCAAGTCAGTGACTCAAGTCACCACCTCTGAAATCTGGTACCTGGCAGGTAGCTGCAGAGGGAAAGTTACTGGGATTATGCACCACAAAATCCTGAAGGGACCAATGTACTGGGAACTGGGCTTAATATCCTTGGTGGAGAGCCACACATGGAATGGCAGTGGCAGTCAGCAAATTTCTTCTGTGTCTTTATGTCGCATTGAAGTTGCACGTGGGCAGTCCTCCAGAATTGTCCGCTCTACCGAAACCCCTTCTCTGTTGGTTGGTTCGATCTCCCAAGCATAGAGTGGGGGCTTGGTAACCTGATGTGCATTGGAAAGGGGTTAAATGTAAGGAGGTCTTTACCAGACAGTTTGTTCTGTCCAGGTAAGGTGCTGGCTACAATCAGACTAGTTAGCTGAACAGTACCATCGGAGACAATGGCCAGTCTCCTGATAAACTGCTCCATTTGTCCACTGGACGGGATGGTATGCCAATGTTAGGCTCACAGTCACCCCCCAGCCGTGTGCAAAATGCTCGCCAAAGTCAAGAGGTAAACTGTAAACCTCGGTATGACATTAAATCCTCTGGAATGCCAAAGAAATGGAAAACTTTATTAAAAAGGCATTCTGCCAGTTGAATAGCTGAGGGGACACTCAGAGGAGGGAAGAGGCAGCATTTCTTACTATAACTAATATGACTGTGGGCCCCCGTAAGGGAGGCAGATCTGCGATAAAGTCCAACGCTGTATGAGACTTGGGTCAGTGGGAACTGGTAGAGGTTCCAACTCACCTGATGGTCGTTGCCTTGGAATCTTTGTTTGGGCACATACTGGGCAGGACAGAACATAATCACGAACGTCATCCACTATAGTCGACCAAGATTTCCTGGATATGAGTTCATGGCTCCTGTTGACACGTGGACCACCTGAATAGAGCTGTAGAAGGATGGGACAAACAGCTTATTTGGGGGTGTATATGGAGGGCTAGTTTCTGCCCACAGGGCATCCTGTATCTTCCATAATGTGTCATTGTGTATTTGTTAACATACAGCATGGAGAGAGAATGGTGTCAGGGCTTGGGTCCTGCTCAGGAGCTGCGAATTACCATGACAGTGCACTGGTAGACTCTCTGGTAGACCTTTGCATTCTTGGGCCCAGGATGATAGGTGACTGTAAACTGAAATGAGGTAAAGCAGAGAGCAATCTGGCCTGTCTATGACTGAGCAATTTTGGCCCTTTAATATATTCAAGGTTCTTGTGATCGGTAAGCACTACACATTGGTGAGTAGCAACCTCAAGCTAATACCTCAATTTCTCCAGTGCTAGCAACTCCACTCACTATATCATGAGGAGAGTTTGTCTGAAAAATAGGGACATGGGTGAAGCTTAACAGGATTCCTCTGCCACTGAGACAGAACCGTCCTGCTATCTACCTCAGATACATCTACTTCCTCAGTAAGCAGCAGCTCTGGGTTGGGCTACTGTACAGGAGCAGAGACGCTGTAGTGCATAAATCCTTAAGTCGGGAGAATGCAGAACGAGCCGTCTCAGATCACGTTAGCAACATTGGTTGTCACCTAGTCATTGTTGTAAGGGGGGCAGCTACCCAGCTGAAGCTGCAGATGAAGCACTGATAAAAATTTGCAAAATCCAAGTAATGCTGCATCTTCTTTACTGTCACAGGCATAGGAAGCTCTAACCTTTTGCTGTATATGTCCATCTGTACCCCCTGTGCAACAGATACCTTAGAAAAGAAATGCAAATAAAAACTTAATTTGTTCCAGAAGGCTGGTTGAGTTGCGATTTGGTCGAGGTCCAAGTCAAATTTCCCTATGAGAAATAATGTAAATGAATTTAATCCGTTCCAGACCCCAAAATTATCGCTGTTTAAACCTATCTACCTACCTATAAAAAGCTTTGACAATCAATATAAAACCAACATGCACATTTAAAATACATACAAAAGCAATAAACATGAAAATTATGACAACTTATGAACAGCTGATGGCACACTGGAAAGGGCAGGTGGAGAGGAGGAGGGATGGAGGAGTTTTAGCAGGTCTGTTTTGTTTTGTCATGTTCTGAGTTTTCGGTCAAGTAGTGGCTAGATTTTTCTCAACAAACCCATTCGCGGTCGGAATTGGTAGAGCTGAACGTGTCTCGACCCATACAACTTTTAGCAGGAACAGTCGAGTTCCAAGATTTCAGTCGAGGTTCGAAAAAAATTAAACAGACCCGTTTAACGTCTAGGTTGGTCGAGTTAAGCGGTGTTCGAGTTCCAAGGCTCTACTGTAGTGGATTTATGGAACTCACACTTCTCGGCGTTTGCATATAGTTGGTGTTGCTGTAGACCTGTTTAAACATGGTCATGGTGTTCAGCTAGGCCTGGGGAACAAATCAGCATATCGTCCATACAGTCGTCCCTCGTTTTTTGCGGTTAATCCGTTCCAGACTGTACTGCGTTAACTGAATTTCTGCGAAATAGGAATCTTTATTTCTTTATTATTCGGCTGCACCTGGCGTTGAAGGATTTGCGGGGGTGCTCAAATACATAGGCCTACAGTCCATACGTACAGTAATTTTAATTTTAATTGTAATACAGAGGTGTATAATTGACTCAGACAACCGAGTGCGCGCTGTATCATTTTCACTGTCTATCAACTTTTTAATGAATAAATGTATTTGAAAAAATGCCTGTTAGTCAGTTTGTTGAAGAGCTGATGGGGGGTCATGGGTGAGGTGAAGTCCAGGCTAAGGCTGATTCCAGAAATTCAAGGTGGACATACAGAAGGGGCAGGTGAAAAAGCGGGAGCAGAAAAACTGGCAAAACAGTCAAAGCAGGGCAATCAGCAACCAGAGGCAAATCACAAGGCAGTAACAGCAAAAACCAGGAACAATACTGAAGTCAAGAAGCCTCAAGGCTGCATGATAACATGGTACTTGTGCCTCACGCAGCACATGTCCTGGTTTCTGTTGCAGTTTGGGCAGGAGTTTTGCTCGGATCTAAAGACGTACCTGAGAGTATGGTTGTTAAAACATCTCAGATAAACAAATCTTTCGGAGCTTGTAACAATTCATTCGGTACTTCAGCTCTGCTTTTCTTGCACTTATTATTTATGTAACCATATGATTGTTTAAAAATCATATAGCAAGGTTTAGAATAAGGATGTCACGACCGCCCTTGTGAATTAATTTATACTGTTATGTAGCAGAAGCATCAGTGAAGGTCTGGTTTTATCATGCACTTATTAATACATAAAATGAAATATAGTGACCATCATGATTAACCTTGCTATCGTGTTAAGGTCGGCACCAAACCGTTTGTAAGTTTACAATGCATAAAAGCACCACATAAATTTATGTACTGCATAAAGGCTTTTTGACTTTGTCAGAAATCTCTATTTAAACAAAATAAATTAAACCAAATCAAGGCAAGGCATGCCCTTACATGTAAGGCAAGATAAGACCGATTCAGTTTATTTATTTAATTCTCTTGAGGTTTATTTTACCATTATTTTTTTTATTGAAAACGAGAGGTATGCCTCTGCTGTTAAAAGAAAGGTCCAGAAAGCCACACCAAAATATTAAAACCAATCTTTTCATAGATAAGGAAGCCTAACAAGGTAACCAAGAGGTAAAAAACAAATTGGTTGATAAATAATTGTTTTGAGGGTATTATATGGCTGATTTAAGACATGGGTCGGCACCAACCCGTTTAACATAAGAGATAGGAACAGAGAGCTAACATAGGACAAAGATTAAGACAGAATGATTCAATATTAAGCCCAGGTGTTAGGAGATATTAAGAGATACTAGAGGACATAAGAATGACATCCAGAATTGCCTGCAGCTACATTATTATTAACGGTTAGAAAACGGTTCATTGAACCTGATTTTAAAGGATAATACTGTCATCTAGGGGACAGAAGAAGAACAGCGTGAAATAATTACTGGATTCCATTTATGAATGTTGTGTGATTTTCGCAATTATTTGATTGATTGTCAAAAAGGAAGTCCAAATGAAATCCCATTTGATCACGTACAGGTCTAGGTTTCGAATTATATAACTATATTAATATATAAATGATTTTTGAATTATTGTATCCTGACTGATTTGCTGATCTTTCCTTTTAGTAATTTATTCAGCTACACGTTTGTTTTCTGTGCATTGTGGGTTGTTTTCATTGGTAATTGTGGTGTTTGTTCCTTGACCTTTTTGCGGGTCATATTATCTTGACATCAGGCACTTTCTATTTTTAAAACTTCAACGCAACAAGTCGTCTTAAAGAGATACTCTGTTCAGAAGTGACAGTGTTTGGGTGCCACCGGAGAGAACTCACTTACGTTGCCTTAGTATTGTACCTATGAGAAAAAGGTTTGTGATTTTTTTTGTTGCTGCTTTTGATTTCAGAAGGTGTAAATAAAATTTTAAAACAGGTTAGCATAAATTCATGTATTATAAGTATAATTACACATCAGAATTAATGAATGTTAATGTGTAATTGTGTAATGAATATTTGCAAATTGGCCATAAGCGTTTGAAGAAAAGTACACAAATAATGGAGGGAGATAATGATTGTACCATAGATCAATTTTCTTAAACCTCATGCATCTTTTTCAGGAGCTAAGGGAAATTCCTTTGTTAAAATCAAATTAAATATGGTAAGTTCAATTTGTGTTTGTACGTATGTATGTATCAATGAGTGTATGTACACATGGTGCAGTCATGGTATAATTTCATTGTATAATTAATGAGAATTCACCAGTTTGTTAGGTCAGTAACAAGCTATTAATTTAACTGTAAACAGCAAATGTAGAATAAAAAACAGCATAATGAATAGTATCAGAATGAATGTAAAACTCCATTACATCATTTTTTATCCATGTGGCATCAAAGCGTAAGACATCCTCCATCCAGCCTCCAGGTTTCGACCATTCACAGCTACTCGCAGGCAGAACGAGGGACGAGGCGTACAGTATATATAGTATATACATATAAACTGCCACAACATGTGGGAAACATAACAACTCTCCACAGAGCAGCGATTCGAACCCCCAACCCTGAAGGCATCCGGCAACACAGCCACCATGACCACCAAGTGTGGAACACCAGTTATAATTTTTATTTTGTTTTATTCACCTATACTGCACTTAGAGTTGGTTCATATAGGCAAATTTCTTTACTGTGCAGAACTGCGTAGAGCATAATTAGCCAAAAACATATAGGTCAGCCCTCTAATTACAGGGGCGTTCCCTGGACTGCCTGTAATAGGTCCCGGGCTCTCTGTGTCATGGTGGGGCATGGAGGAAGGATGATCCACAGCAAATGGGAACTTTATTAAGACTGCATTCAGATGCACACAAAACCATAAGGGCCACAAGGGGTCAAAACAATGGCAGGTTGGTTAAACGTGGATGAATAAAGGCTGGCACTACAGATGAGAAAATTCAGAGGGACCAGGAACCAAAACATCTACAACAATCACAGAAGGACTGGCAGGTAACACATACAATGATCAACAAAAAACAGAGCAAAGGCAGGCACATATAAAGACTGATAACCAGGATTAAACAGGAAACAGGTGCGGGTTACTGACACTTAAGTGAATACTAGGATAATGAATAGCAAGGCACAGGTGAGGGTCATAATTACTAAACATTAAGGACTCAAACACTAGGAATAGGATGGCCAGTGACACCTGCTGGCCAAACAGGGAAATGGCAAACAGGACAGGGCAGGGACTGATCCTGACAAGATAAGCATGTAGATAGTAAAGTGTAGATCTATCTATCTACAGTACTGTGTAAAAGTCTTAGGCCGTCGAAGAAAATGTTTAAAGCTATTTATCTGGGTAGTAACTGTATAATTTCTCAGAAAAAAATTATATAATGTAACATTAGAACAAATGCAAATTAACAATAATACTATTAAAAATAGAAAAAGAATTTCTTCCGTTACCCAAAAAGTTAAACAATCACTTAGACTGCTAAAAGAATTCTGCTTTGGTTCCCAAACCTTTCCTCAGGGGCACCACAGCATTTCATTTTTTCATTAAATTTCACCACCAGCTCTAGTAATTGACTAACTTCATTAATTAAATAACTAAGTAGGGTATTGATCAGCCAAATAGGTGGAGTAGTGGTCGAATCAAAAAAAATACTGGGGTGACTCTATCTATCTATCTATCTATCTATCTATCTATCTATCTATCTATCTATCTATCTATCATCTATCTAATTATCAAATTGCAATATCAATGTCATAATTCCAAGTAGAAATGTCACTTGCTTATGAAATGTTTCTAGATGCATTTATGCAGAAAACTAAAGATTTCAATGTTCGAAAGTAATTGATTTTCTGGTTCTTTTTGTCTAAGAGAAGGAACCGGAGGCCCGTGGTGAGGGAGCACCAGCATTGTGAGAGATGCTTCCGATTAAACTGTAAAGCACCCATTGAGATCTCCGTGTCCTGCGTGGTCATCAGCTGCCGCCTGCTGTGTGGTGCCACTTTTCACATGTGTAAGGAGGAGGAGCACCGGCTGCTATGTCCCAAAGAGAAGGTGTCCTGCCTCAACGTGGCCTACGGCTGCCCCATCACCATGCTCCGATCGCAGTTAGCCCAGCACCTGAAGGTGTGTCCTGCCAGTGTAATTAACTGCTCCATGGACTGGAACCGCTGGCCTATTGCGGATACAGACGGTGCGTTTTACAAGAATGCCGTTAAAGAACCATTCTCCGCTGAACAGCTAGACCTCCGCATGGCCCTAAGAGACCAAAAGCTGGTGTGTAATAAACTCAAAATGAAAGCATTTTTCCCTGAGTTGATGGAGGACGTTGAAGAAGCTGAGGACTCCATAGATGGTGCAATGGGTGATCCTACAGATGATGAAGGTACCACGCAGCTTTCTGACTGCAGCAGCACAATGTCAGACATGCAAGAGCTCATACAGGAGGAGTGCATGTCACTGGCTAAGAATACAGACGGGATGGATGTCAGGAGTCACAAGCTGGCAGAGAAAATGTTCAGTAAGGAGAAGGGTGGCTGCATGCAAGCTGGCAAAGCCAAGGCTGATGGCCAAACACCCGCTAATCAACAAAAAAAACAGGGAAGCCGTGGCCATCAACAGGCTGAAGAAACATGCCAGGACAGAAATGAACCGGAAACAGAAACTACAGATGCTAGCAAGATTGGATTTGCCCCTTGGCATGAAGGGGTCCTGGAGAGGCTAGGAAAAGAGGTAAATCCAAGAGAATATAATATGTATCTTGTGCATCATGGACGCATGTTAATCCGATTTGGCCACATATCTGCTTGCACCCCTAGAGAGAAAGATTTTGTTTATGGCAGCCTTGAACCCATACCCGTTCAAACCCTTAGATCCTTCAAAGTTCCCACCAGTTACAAGGAGAAACGTATCCATCTGAAAGATCCTTCTGTGAGAGCAAAGTCTGAGGACAAAAGTGTGGACACGTCAGATTTGGGATTTTCTGAAGAAGACATTCCAATAATGGATGAACTCCATACGACATTATTGTGCTCCACAGAGAAAGAACTTAGAGGTCATAAAATATGCGAAACTGTGGTGACGGATGGTCTTTTTGTGGACTTTGCTACACAAACCTATCACTTCCAGTCTGCTCCGTTTAAACACAATGCCTATCTAGCAGATATCATTCCTGATCAGACTTTGAACCTCAATGTTCAGATTCAAACTGATGGTGTGACCGGCAGACACAACAGAACCAACTCCGCCTTCACCTTCCTCTGCAATCACACTTTCCGGCGCGATGAATTCACTTCGCATTTCAAAAACGTGCACGTGGACATTCAGTCCTGCCTAAACGGCTGGTTTGAGGAGCGATGCCCCCTAGCTTACCTTGGCTGCACCTACAGTCAGAAGAGGTTTCAACCCTCTACACAAAGGGCTACCGTGTCATACAATGACGAGCTCAGTACCTTATCTTTGAGGCCAGAGGTCTCCCCTTCACTCTCTCAGGGCATGAAAGCAGTTGTACCTGAGAGGAAACATGAACGCAATACAGATGTGCTTAGCCGACTGCCTTTTGAAATCCTGCTGTACATTGCGCGTTTCCTCGATAGCTTCAGCTTGTCTCAGCTGGCTCTTGTTTCTCAGACGATGCGAGAAATGTGTGCAACTCTGCTAAAGGAGCGAGGGATGGTTTTCCTGAAGTGGACAAAGAAGACCTACGCCCATGGCGGATCTCGCTGGAAGTCCAGAAAGGCAAGTGCATGGATTTTGTGCTTTTCACGATATTTAGTATTACACCATTTAAATTACATGTTTTCTTCTTTATCATTGAAACATTAACCGTAGTGGTGAAAAGCTCAAGCTATAGGATTCTGCAAATATTTAACGAAAAAGTAGAAGGAGATTGTTTAGTGACAAAGAAAATGCTACATTACTTTAGATTTTCACTTTTTTATTTGCCCAAAATGGCGCACAAGTGAGAAGGACAATACTTTTGTTGTATAAATGGAAAATCTCTCCATGAAATAAGAATGGCTGTATTCTTTGATTGCTGTAATGTAATGCATATTATCATAAATCGCAATGGAGTTAAACCAATTTTTCAAAAAGATTGACTGGAATTTTTCTAATGTAAGTGAGTTATTAACACTGTTCTGTCTTTCGTATCACCACTGCTCAGGTATGGCAGTTCAGCAACCTCTTCTCCACGGTGGATAAATGGAGTTTCGCTGAGACCCTGTCCATGTCAGAGCATCTAAAGCACTGCTCTTTCTACCAGACTGAGAGGAAGACTGAACCTGTGGCCCTGATCCATATATGTGACAAGAATATGAAGAGATGAACAGCTGAATCTGATTGTGTGGTCGAGCCTTATCGATGTTGCTGGTATATAAGTAACACTGTAACCACACTTGACCCTTTTTAAAGAATGAGGCTTTATACTTCAATATTTTCTGTTCAGCCCAGGCCAACTTAAATAAATATTACACACAGATCAAAGACACACAGGTTTAAAACTTCATATATTTACAGCCAGCATAAAAAAATTGGAATAAATAAGCATATCTGTACAATTTCAAATCTTTTTGAGCAACAAAAAAATCTGACATCTATCTATCTATCTATCTATCTATCTATCTATCTATCTATCTATCTATCTATCTATCCACTTATCCTAGTCAAAGTCACATGGGGCCCTGCAGCCAATCACAGGCAGCACAGGGCACGTGGCTGGGCTACATCCTGATGAACAGGGCCTGTGTTTTAGTGAAATAAAAAATGAATTCTGACAATTCTGAAAATAATCTAGAAAAAACTGAAATTTAATCATTTAGTGGTAACAACACTGATTAGAATGCCTTGAAGTCAGATCCTAACTCAAATGGCTTTAAATTTTATTGTTATACGTCCATCCATATTTCTATAATCTAACTGTCTGATGACTATTTTTCTGCCTTCAAAAAATGTGGCATAGAAATTGTGCACATGGAATTATACAGAAATTATTAGAGTTGCAACCTGAACCGTGCCTTAGACGGGATGTGTCACACAATCCTGTTTGCCTTAGCTCTATTTATATCACCGTTTCACCCTATTTTCAAGGTTGCGCAAACTCTGGGCGGCCAAACTAATAGCAATAGAAGAGCTGATATGTCTCATTAACTCAGCGGTAAGGATATCTTTTCGCAATCTGATCAAACAACTTCACCCGAGTACCATTTCGCTATCACGCTTGCTGCTGTGTCACTTGTTATTTTACAAATCCTGTTAAGTATTCTTCAAAAATTTGAATTTGGTTGTGTGTTGTGTGTTATGTCTGGACAGCTTACACGATGCAGGAGTTCAGTCAAAGCTGAAGTGATCTGCTTATATTATTGTTTTTGCACGTGAGGATTTGCTTCCGCTTGTACGATTCATTTGTAACAATCTAGCACTGACATATGACGTGGTTCAGCATGGCCTTAAATTAAATACAAGAAAACCTGCAAGATCTCGTTTGTTTCTCTGCAAGTTCGCAAATTGTTTTTCTTTGTAATTCTGCCATCTAAGGGAAAATATCACTTTAACGTACTATTAGTGAAATTCCTAGAAAATTAAGACTATATGATGAATTATAGCGATAAATTATACTTCTATTGTATGGTGGCTTGGAGGTAAATTTATATTAATGTTTTATCAGTATCAGCATGAAATAAGTAGATATGTGGGTGAGTACTTTTCTGCAATTCTTCACACATAACGAGGACACTGGGTCATAGAATTGCGACCTGAGTACCAGCCAGAAACGTCGATCTGTCACAATCGTGATGGCCTGCTTGGCAACTGCTGCGTTAGATATTACAGAAGGTGACTGTCTTCCATTTGCAGCTGTGACAGTAGCTCTTTCAAAGGCTTGGCATCATATATTGGTGCCCTGCCTGCCACAGCTTAGAACTGTCCTTAAATGAGCCTTCTACATGTCATGAGCAACAAGACTCAGCTGCCCGTGAGCTGATTATCGATATAAATGAGGTTAGATGGATGTAACAAAGAGCAGAGCGCAGGGCAGGTCAGAAAGTGAGGCCTATTTGACAGTACAGTCAAGTAAGTTACAGAACAAGAGAGCAACAGAAGTCCTGTCATATTCTGGCAGATGCCTGTATTGTTTGTCTGCGACGTTCTGACAAGCAGGATGCTCTGACTGTTTCACACAGAGCTGCAATCAGCGTATAGGATCCTGGCATGTAAAAGCACCTTTCCTGATGTTTTAGTGCAAAGTGACGGCACAGTGAGCCCTTGATACAGCTTTTACCACCAGCCCAGCCTGTAAGCAGCGACACTGCAGTTACTGTGTCTTCACTGTCATCTTACACATCGGAGAAATTACTAAGATGGTACGCAGACCCAGTAAAGAATTCATTAATATCATGAAATATCATGTGGTACTCTTCACCAGCTAAGGCTGACACGGCATATGAAATATCATGTGGTTCTCTTCACCAGCTAAGCCTGACACAGCATATGAAATATCATGTGGTTCTCTTCACCAGCTAAGGCTGACACAGCATATGAAATATCATGTGGTTCTCTTCACCAGCTATGCCTGACACAGCATATGAAATATCATGTGGTTCTCTTCACCAGCTAAGGCTGACACGGCATATGAAATATCATGTGGTTCTCTTCACCAGCTATGGCTGACACAGCATTAGTTCTCTTGGCTACATTTCTAAATACAAATAATTCAAAGTACCCTGTTGTTAACTCAAGGGTCCGTTATAAAACATGTTATAATACTTATTTTAGTAACTTAATAATGAATATTCTGTAATAATCATCAGGGAAGATTACAGTAGTTCTTTTATTATAATGCCGTTTAAGGTATTTGGAATGATATCTTAGTGCATAAGTGAAAAATTCTGGCAACATTTGATTAGATAGTATTACATGATTAAATAGTATTACATATGGTGTATATACCAATAAGTGAGATAATGGTCATTATGTGACAATATGCACATGCTGATGGAGGCATTAATCTCTCTGAATTGGATTCTGGTAATGAAAAATGAAAACAATTAAATTTGGAATCTATAGTTTTGGTATTTTCAGGTGATGCGATTGTTAGTGATACAATTTCAATTGTTTTCCAGGATATCCTACATGATTTTTAAGTAAACAAAGAATTCTGGAAACATGGTAAGTTGACCTTTTCATTTGATCTTTTATATTCGAGTTCTGACTATAATTCCTGATATATGTATTTGTATTTATTTGGTTTGGATACTTAAAATATGAATTACTCTTAACATTTTAATTAAGTGAATTGTAGCTATTTAAAATCAATACATGAGACAGAAAAGGTGTATTTTTGTTCCCTGTTTAGTCAAAAGAAGCCCAAATGCTTTAAGAAATCTGCTTAGAAAACTGGCTGCTCAGTTTTGTTTTGTTTTGTTCAAATTGTAATTTTTGTTTGAAAGTATAAGTATGTGTATTTGCCCTTATTTATAGGGAAGGAATAGGACGGTTTCTGTAAAACAGCACCAGCACTGTGAAAAATGCTTCAATCGCTACTGCAAGGCTCGTGTTGAGGTTTCTGTGTCCTGTCTGGTGATCAGCTGCCGTCTGTACTGTGGCGCTGTTTTCCACATGTGCAAAGATGAGGAGCACCAGCTATTATGTCCCAATGAAGTGGTGCCTTGTCTTAATGCAGAGTTTGGCTGCCCCTTTACCATGTGCCGCTACAAGCTTGGTGATCACTTGAAGGAGTGTCCATCCAGCATAGTGAACTGCTCCATGGACTGGAACCGCTGGCCTGCTGAAGAGGCGGAGCTTGTTTTATATGACAACATGCTTAACGAGCCTTACTCGGACAAACAGCTGGATCTCTCTCTGGCACTCAGGGACCAAAAACATCTGTTCAGTTCACTGAAGATGAAGAGCCTTTTTGCGGAGCTGGTGGAGGTGACTAAGGAGGAAACGCCCATGTTGGAAGGGGCGGTAGGGGGTACAGATTTCGCGAAGGCTGAGCATGATTTTAAGCCACTGGATGATGGAATAATTGAAGAAGAAATGGAAGGACTTACCCAGGAAGAACGTGAGGCTTTAGCTAAAGATACGAGTATTGTGGATCCGGAGAAATTTAACATGTGGGAGAAAATGTTCAGTATGGAAATGAGCGGCTGCAAGCAGACTGGAAAAGTTCTGGAAAGTTCTGAAAAGCATTCCGAAGAGGGGAATCTATTAAAATCGGGAAGCCAGAGTAGGACGGTACCTGAGAAAACCAAGAAGAATGAAAATAGCACTGATGTCAGCAATAAGACCAACGATGTTCATAATGATCAGACCCCAAGACAAGATGTGAACATGCCAAGATTATATAGCCAGGCTCTTCCTTGTAATCCTAAAGGAAAGAGTTTTTTTTATGGTTCCCTGGAGCCAATGAAAATGAAAACAGTCCGGACTTTCAAAGTTCCCACCAGCTTTAGAGCGAAACACGGACGCATTCGTAATCCTGCAGTTACGAAGAAAGACAATAAATGTGTAGATACATCTGATCTGGGAGTCTCACTGGGAGATCTTCCAAAATGGGATGAGATCCAAGCAACTTTACTCTGTTGTTTAGAAAAGGAACTCAGAGGCCACTTGGTCTCTAACGCTGCCTCGACTGACGCCCTTCTTTGCGACTCTGGCACGCAAACGTACGACTTCCTCTCGGCCCCATTCAAGAAAAACGCCTCACTGGCTGATGTTACTGCAGCCAGAACATTGAAGCTACATCTCCAGATTCATTCTGAAAGCGTGACCAACAGGCACAACAAAGCCAGCTCTGCCTTCACCTTTCTCTGCGGTCACTATTTTAGGCGGGATGAATTCTCTTCGCATTTCAAAAACGTGCACGCGGACATTCAGTCCTGCCTAAACGGCTGGTTTGAGGAGCGATGCCCCCTAGCTTACCTTGGCTGCACCTACAGTCAGACGAGGTTTCAGCCCTCTACACAAAGGGCTACCGTGTCATACAATGAGGAGCTGAGCACCTTCACCCTAAAACCAGACGTCTGCACGGCACACCTTGAGGGAGCGACAGCCATCAGAACCGAACGAAAACAAGCACGGAATCTGGATGCCTTCAGCCGACTTCCTTTCGAGGTCCTCGTGCACATCGCGACCTTTTTGGACAGCTTCACCTTATCCCAGCTGGCTTTGGTCTCTCATCACATGAGAGACGTTTGTGCCACCCTGCTCCCAGAGAGGGGGATGGTTTCCTTGAAGTGGGAGAAAAAGACATATTCCCACGGGGGCTCCTGCTGGAAGTGTAAAAAGAAGGTACGTTTCCGGTACAATGGTGAAACAGCCGCGCTTTGATGGAAAACTCAGTTTTATGTTTCATCTTAATGCTTTAAATATATTTTTATATTGAAGGAAAATACATCCAAATAGCTACTAACAGTAACAGTAACATTTTGGTAACACTTTTAATTGTGTGATATACTAATTAAGATAAGCACATGTTTTTGAGATCCCTGCTTGCTTAATTGCGTATCTTTGGACCATGAGAAGGAACCAGAGTCCAGGCAGAACCCACAAACTCCACATGTAGACGGGTCCAGGATTCAAATGCCCAACCCTAGAGATCATACGAGATCATCTAATCATCAGATCATTTGAAGTCCTACAGTGTCTAGAGTTTACAGAGAGCGGTGCAATAAAGAACAGCAACAACAAAATATCCAGGGAGCAGCTGTTCTGTGGGCTACAACAGCAAAGACCACTTCAGGTCCAGCTCCTGTCAGCTAAGAACTGGAAACTGAAGCAGCAGTGGGTACAGACTCACCAAAAATGGACAGTTGAAGTCTGGTGGTGTTTGTCTTTTTTGGCACAAAACAGGCTTCTTAATACCATCTGAGCATTGTTTTAATGCTCTGAATATTGTTACTGACCAAGTGTATCCCTTTATGGCCTAAATTTGCCCATCTTCCAGCAGGATTATGCATCATGTCACAAAGCACAAGTCATTTCAGACTGGTTCCATGGACGTGGCAGTGAGTTGTGGGTCCTTCAATGGCCTGCAAAGCCACCAGATCACATTCAAAAGGGCACCACTGGAATGTGGTGGAATGGGAGATGTGCAGCCAACAATTCTGCAGCAATTATGTGATGTGATCATGTCAACAAGGACCAGAATCTCTAACGAATGTTTCCAGCACTTTGTTGCATCCATGTTTTCAGGCTGTTCTAAAAGCAAAGCAGGGTCCTTCCCATTATCAGAATAGTGTTCCTATTAAGTTCCAGTTGAGCATAAAGAGTCACAGTCACAGAGTACTCAACTGGTTGGTTGAAAGTAAATCATGGTCTGGATTTTTACTTTCTGGACCTGAAATTTCCACCTCTGGTGGCCAGTGAGTGTATGTGGCATTGTGTTACAAAAAATGAATACATAAAAATGCTGCGATGCCCCAGAAAAAGAGTTTAATGCAAAGCAGTCAGCTAGAAAATATTAGGAAAGCATGTAGCCCAGTGACCGCACTATGTGAACACATCCTCTTGCCATGGACCATGTCTTTAGCTCTGCCAACTACCCAATCAACTCAGCCACCGCTATTTAAGGCGATCAGTCTCCAAGCTGGTAGTTGGCAGAAGTTGCAGAGAAATGAATGATCACTCAATCCCAACTTGCTCTTCTGCCACTTTTCAGTTTCCAGTTTACTATGCTTTGCCTTGCCATCTTAGACGGAAGGCAACTGTGCATGATTACAGTTTAAATATCTTTCCAGTACTGTATACATAAATAGCTCCTGCCTGGAACAGGTCTTACCGCGAGTTGTTTGAAAGCCCAGAGGACTGAAGATGTGGTAAAGATAAGATAAGAGTAATGGACCAAATCCAGTCCGAAATATAATTGAATCCAGGCCACGCAATGGATTCCTCCCCAAAAATTGATCAATTCCTACCAAAATAATTGACTTGTGTAAGTGCGCAGAAGTGGCACTGTGGTTATCCTTGGGTTGAGCTGGGGACAGATCAATTTCGAAACTGCAACCTTCAGAGATATTAAAAATAATGGGTGTGTGTGTGACGGAAGTTTGAATATCACTGCGCGGTTCTTGTGCTGCTAAGCTTTCTCTTGGGTTAGCACTTTCTAACTGTACTTCTTTATCTTTTCTGTCCTTCTATAACCCCCCAGGTTTGGCAGTTCAGCAGCCTCTTCTCCAGGGTGGATAGCTGGAGCTTCAGATGCACCCCCTCCATGGCTGAGCATCTGAAGCTCTGCCCCTTCTACCAGGCAGAGAGGAAAAGTGATCCGGTAGCGCTGGTTAGCATGGGCTACGACAAAAATGAAGAAGCGAAGCATCAAACATTAGTTTCACTGCTTGGTTCTAAGGCGAAGGTCAGGAAACACAAATGCTGAATTAGAAAGTCTGGAAAGTGAGAAAGATTCAAACATCTTACCATTTTGGGCTTTGAGACTACAATATTAAAACTGTTTATACAACTATTGTTTTATCTGATTGTCGCATAATATTCCTTTGCAACATAAAGATTTGAAATCTTTGTACTAAATTCAGTGCCTTGTGCCCATAGGGACCGGGATAGGCTCTGGGATAGACTCCAGGATAGGTTCTGGGATAGGTTCCGTGATAGACTCCGGGATAAGCTCCGGAATAGGCTCCAGGATAGGCTCCGGGATAGGCTCAAGGATAGGCTCTGGGATAGACTCCAGGATAGACTGTGGGATAGACTCCAGGATAGGTTCTGGGATAGGCTCCGTGATAGACTCCGGGATAGGCTCTGGGATAGGCTCAAGGATGGGCTCTGGGATTGACTCCAGGATAGACTCCGGGATAGGCTCTGGGCCCCTGTAACTCAACATAAGACAAACGAGAATAGAGAAAGGATGGATGGACAGACAGTATTTAATTGCCTAATCAAAGTAGTATTGTAAGTAGCTGTTTTTGAATACTTGTGTGTATATAAGATAAATGTGCTGTATTTAAAGTTTGCATAAGTCTTTAATGCTTCAATGACACATGAAATAAAGTCAATTAATTGGATTGCAAGTATGTGGAGAATCTTGGTTCGTCTGTTTAGTGATACAAGTCTGTTGAAGATTGGGCTGTATTTCACTGGCACTGTGGGGATATCCCCAGGAAGGCGACCTAAACAATGTACAATGACACATGAGAGCTGGGACTTTGCGTCTAAATACTACACACTTAGTACAGGTGGTTCAGGTGGAGTTACACAAAGTTGTGTAATAAAACAATGCAACAAAGATGATGGAAAATAATACTGTATGAAACATCCTAAATGAAAAATATTTGTGTTATATTAGGTGCATTGGCAACATTTTACCTGAGTGTAGTAGTACACTGTTACGTAATCTATTAATTAACTGGAGTAATGAGTTTCATACTGATTCAATGTTTGTTCATCATTAATCAATCATAATGGTTCATGTATTTAATGCAGTTCCTATATTTGTTAATAATTTGTGATTTATGTGAATAGTAACTGAGCTGCTAAGTTACTTGTGCCCCACCAAGTAAAGTGTTGCCGATGCATTAGTGAATATTTTTATAATGATTGTATAAAGCAGGGTTCTTCAAATCTGGACCTCGATTCCAAATCCAGGCCTTGTTTTCAGTTCTCCCAGGTAGTTAGTTTAATAATTACTGATTCTGATTGGTCAGAGGCTTCACACCTGACTGACAGGTAAAGGAAGGCTGGAAAACCAGCAGTGCTCGGACCTCGAGGACCGTGATTTGAATAACCCTGGTATAAAGGAATCGTATATGTACTGTATTAATCTATAGAAGAAACTGAATTCCCATTTTAAAATGATTGTTTTAAAGGGAGATATATATTCTGTATTGTGTGCCAGTGTAGCCTCTGTCTACTTTATAGATTGTCCTGTTTATAATACATGATAATGTCACCTTTTTTCAAATCTTTAGCTTGTGTGTAGTTATAGAAGGTTGATGATTGTAAATAGCTCAGCAGTACCCAGCTAAGTCTTATTGAGCTCCTACTCCTGATACCGTGACTTTTCTGTACCCTTTACATAGATACTGTAAGGAGGTTGCCGGAAATTAATGAAACCACACTTGAACCTTTGCTTTATCATATACATGCAAAATAACCCACTAAAATGCATCCTGATTTTGAGTTATATATTCTAAACTCTATCTGTACGTTGTATCCCCTATAATCATAGCCTTTCTCTCATTTGTATACAGTACATTTTTCCAAATGAAATAAATGCTCTTTATACCTTTAAATTGTGAGAAAATCATTTTAGCTGCATATATCATAATTTAACTCCAAAGCGAACTTGTCTTGACCTTTTGTCAGTTAGTTCTTGAATACAGTTTATGCAGATGCTGCAAATTCCATTTGTCTGACAGGTGGCGAATCAAAAAAATACTGGGTATGATTTTGTTTATGGATTTTATATACAGCAGAGTGTGGCACCAAAGGACCAATCAGTCTTTCATGCCATTACACATTTGTAATTGAACATGCTATTATATATTACCTTATATTATTATATTATATTTATGGGGGATGGAGCCTGGTGCAGTGGGTTAGGACTTTGAGCCTGCGATCGCAAGGTCACTGCACCAGTTCTTGTGGTCAGCAGAGTGATTTCTTTATTGCACCCTTCAGCAAGACCCTTAACCCCAACTTCTTCAGGGACTGGCTTACCCTGCTCTCTCAATTATACATCACTTTGGGTAACAGTGTCTTCTCCTATGGCCAGGTTTCATCAACCTGTCTGTACATGGACAAATATCTCTGTGGCAAGACTCGTCTGTGTCATCAACCTGTCCGGACAAGGGGTCGGATTCCAGGGCAAAATGTTTGTATTGAGAAAAGAAAAAAAACTATGTAGGCTATGGTTTTAAATCCCACGTCCTTGCAAAAAATTGCATCTTCAAAATCTCTATTTCACCATATGCTGTTGGCCTCTGCAGGTGCCTTCTTCATTTCTCATTTCTCAATTTTTTGATTTCGCAAAATAAATGCATGCAAAAAAGTATGAAAGCAGAAATGAAACTGCTGAATCATTTTTTTTTTGACTGTGGGATCCTTTTCCTTGCCTCTAACTTTCTGCATTGATTCAGTTCACGGGAAAACAAAAAGAAGAAAAAAAACCCGACAAACTGAGGTTCTTTTAACGTGGTAGGTGAAACAGCAACTGACTTAAAAAGATTACAGTAGAACGGTTAGTATTGTAAACACTATCATTGCTTGCTTCTATTTGTATATGGATTGGTTGTAATTTCCAAAGAAATGGTGCTGAGATAATGGTTTCAGCAGATGGTATATTTTGTGTAAACACAGAAATATTGGTATTAGAATTTAAGATTTTACAGGTATCGTGTTGGTTTTAAATTAGCCCTCAAACCAAAGCACTGCATGCTATGTACAGTATCTCAGTAATTCGTTGTTCGTTTCCACAGTCCCCCTCGTGAAGCTTCAGGATGTTCTCCCTCACTGCTGGGTATCTCTTGCTGGGCTCAGCCTTGCTGCTCATGCCTGAACTCTGTCGAGGCGGCTGTACCGTACAAGACGGTAAACCTGGACTGGAGGGCATTTCTGGGAGAGACGGCCTACCTGGGGAAAAGGGAGAGAAAGGGGATGCAGGTAACTGGCTGGCATCTAACAGCGAATTTCCGGCTGTACGATTAAACCTTGTAGATGTACAGACGCCTCTCAGGTTATGATGGGGTTACGTTTTGATCGTACACCAAAAATATGCATTTTAATACAGTACACCTAACCAGACAAACATCGTAGCCTAGTCTACCTTAAACATGCTTAGAACACTTACATTAGCCTACAGTTGGACAAACATAAAGCCTGTTTTATAATGAAGTGTGGAGTATCTCAGGTATTTTACTGAATAATCATATCCATCGTAAAGTCAAAATATCGTAACGTGGACCATCGTAACCAGGAGAGCCTGTGTAAGTTGACGTGCTGTGGTATAAAAATGTTTAAATGCCAAAGCAAGATCATTTTTAATTTCATTTAGTTTCTTATTTAAGTAGTGAAGCTGTAACATTGTTGTCTCTTTTTAGCTCCATTAATGGAATCTACGAAGGGCATGAAAGGGGAGAGCGGACATAAGGGGTTTCCCGGCGAGATGGGGGGGAAAGGCTACAGCGGGGCGGTGGGACAGGCAGGCCTGCCTGGCCCCCCCGGCCCCAAAGGCTCTCTAGGTGACAGTACTGGCTCATTAAAACAATCTGCATTCTCTGTCTACGAGCCGCAAAACCCAGAATACGGGAAGCCTGTTAAATTCACCCGTAACTCTGTAAACATCAACGATGATTTTAATCATCAAACGGGAAAATTCACCTGCCGGGTGCCGGGGGTGTACTATTTTGTTTTCCACTCTATGAGCGAGAAGAACCTGTGCTTATCACTCAAGAGTGATGCCTTGAAAGAAGAAAACTTTGGCTTTTGTGACTATTGTGACGCCTCCAAGAATGAGAAGCACGTGCTGTCGGGAGGAGTGGTGCTGCAGCTCGACAAAGATGAGAAGGTGTGGATGGAGGTCTTCAGAGAGGAAAACACTCAACCTTCTGTAGAGTCTATTGTCTTCAATGGCTTCCTGATTTTCCAAAGTGACAAAAAAAAACATAGTTAAATTTACATATCATCACAACATATAATATTTTTGTCATCTGTCTCAATCTACACAAATGACATCAACATAATGCTTAAGAGCTGAAAACTTTGTTCTAAAATTTTGCATTCTGAAATACTCCTGTCTGACATTTTGTTCTTGTGCCATGTACCAGACTATTCTTGCAGTTTATTCACAATAAAAGATTGTTTTCATAAAAATGTTTTTTTTTATTTATGTATGGCTTATTTTTACATCCATCCATCCATCCATCCAACTTCTAGACCTGCTCACTTACCTGTGTACTTTACTTTAACAATACATCGCTTCCCCCCAAGACTTAAAAGTACTTTGTGCTTGCTTGCAGTAGTAAAGAAACCTTTCTCAGCTAAAGTCATTTAAAGTGAGCTATTCATTAATAGCAATCTCCAAAGATTTTTAAGTGAAAAATGACTTTAAAAATGCATTTTATGTAGGATTGACATTTATCACATTCTTATTATATCAACTGACCTCCCTTAGCAATCCATTTAGATCCATTTAGATCACCTGACTTCATCATTAATGCTTCCCAAAGACAATTTATCGATAATCTATCTATATATAATAAATATTTTACTAACATCATAGCATCTCCCTGGTTGTTGTGTTACTTAGTGGATAATCAACCTATGTGACCTTGAATTAAGTTAAGAGGATCTGCCATATATTTGTTACCCATGACACAAATCACATTCCTGTTTACACATTCATTTCTCTAGTACTCATTGGTACATAATCACTTTGTAATTAAACTGAAAATATCAAAATAATATAGATGGAATATATTGCTTACTTAAACAGTCCACTTTGAATTTTAACTTAATGTGATGTAGAATTCAGCTTGGCATGGTAATGCATTCTAATTATTGCCTGCTAATGTCATCACGTGAAAAAAGAGCTTTAACATACAGCTTAAAAGTTAAGCTTCAACAAAGTCTACAGCATTTTGGGCTCATCCAACAAGCACCACAGCACTCGGGCTTGAAATCTGTGACGGATAAGACTCTCCAGTGCTTCTCACCGGAATGTAACTCTTTTGATTAGTGCCACACCCAGATTAAGTGCTAACAAGGTGACACTGGCTACACACCTATAAAACGTTTTTCATAATAAAAGGAAAGAGAATACAGAAATCAGACTTTATTATCCCAGATTGAATGGCACACCTGAAACTGCCCACCCACACAGTCACTGCTCCACTGTTTCCCAACCTGGTCCTTGGTGGGCCCCCCACTGTCGGGCCCCCACTGTCCCCCAATGCACATTTTTGCTCCCTCCCAGCTCCCTACCAGATAGTCCATTATTATTATTATTATTATTGTCTGGGTTTCCCAGCTTAGACTGCTGCCCCCGCGACCCGACCCGGAAAAGCGGTAGATAATGGATGGATGGATTATTATTGTTGTTGTTATTGGTAGCAAAAACGTGGACTTTCTAGTAGGGAGCTGGGAGGGAGTAAAAACTTGGACTGTCTGGGGGTCCCTGAGAACTGGGTTGGGAAACACTGAGCCGGCAGACATCTGAATAGTGAATGCTAACAGGACAGAGGACGCTGACTATGAGGTATGTAACTACAGAGTCGAGCGACTAAACAAGGTGATTATCAATTAGGATCCAAGATGCAGAATTAAACAAGGATCCAGAAAACAAATCGACAGTTAAAAGTCAGGACCAGCCTAACAAATGCAATCACACAACCAAATCAGAGAACCCATATCAGACATAGGATCAGAAAACCAGAATCTCAAGCCAAGAGCTCACACTGCCGAGACATTGACCAGATTAACTAACCTTACTAAGCGCAAATATGTTGCGTGCAAATGTGTGTGATTATATGGTGAAATCTTTGTGAGGAACAACTACTGTATACATGTGGCACATAACAGCAAACTGTATTTTGGACCAGATCTGAGGACATTCTCTCTTTAGATATGACTTATAGCTTTTATATTCAAATTTAGGATCATAAACCTGAATCTTGCTTATCTTAGGAAACACAAGTAAAGAGGGGCACCTGGCCAGTCAGTGGAAAGGCCTCACACATAGAGTACAGAAACACCAATTCACTGGGGGTCTGTACCACAAAGCAGGGTTTCAAGCTTAGCCAGATAACTTCTTGGATTTAAGGTAGTCTGGACTAAATGTAAGTGAATGAAGATGAAGTCGGCCGTAAACTTAAATTCGACAAGTTATCCAGCTCCAGAAGCTGCTTTGTGATACAGGCTCCAGAAGCACATGTTTTTTGGACACTGGTAGGTAAAAAATAATACTCAACATCAATACAGGGAGAACATGGAATTTGTACACAAGATATCCGAGTGTGAGGCCAGAGTACTCCGCACTGAGCCACTATACCATATCTGATTTAAATCCATGTAACAACAACAATAATAATAATAATAATTCAACAGTCTGTAGCAGCTGGAAGATTGGCTAATTTTGATTTGTAATGCAATGCATAAAATATAAAATGTATTACACTGGCCAGGGTTGCAAAATATGACAATTTCTCCTAAAGGTTCCTCTTTATAAAAGTTTCTTGTTTGTAGTTCCTCTTTAGTCATATTCCTCTTCCTTAAAGCTCTCATTTGCCCTTTATCAGTCGATGTTGTGAAAAACAAATGTAAGTAAACTTTTCATTATTTGATTTTAGTGTTTTTTATAGCTGTCAGCTCTGTTGTAGGCTCTGTTGTTCACTACCATGAATATCAATGCATATTATTTATCATTTATTTTACAAATCAGCAAAGCTGCAATTTCTCATTTCAGCAGCATGTATTGTAAATTGTATTTGTTTTTGTTATAACAGTATACATTTTTGTACATTACAGAACTTCATTCACCTTTTATTTAAAAATGTTCCTTAAATTATACGACTGAGCCACCTGACTTAATGGTGACATTTTTTGGCTTATATTTAATAATGCTGCCTTTGGTGATACTGTACATTCTCTGTAACGGTACACGTCTCCCTTCCAGAAGCTTCCGCCATGTTCTCCCCATGCTTCGTTTTCGGGAGCCTCTTGGCTGCGGCTTTCGTCACCCTGGCTGCCACAGACACATGTCCATCTGCGGGCCACCCAGGGCTACCAGGGATTCCGGGATTCCCGGGACGGGACGGCAGAAAAGGAGAGATGGGACAAAAGGGGAAACCAGGCAAGCAGGCAAAGCCATTTTTATTAGGACACATGAACATAGATTATAAGGGAAAAGGCCTTTTTCCAAGTGGCGAGTTAAATGTAACCTATGCACTTTTTAAAAATATTAGCTTTACCATGTTATATGTCTAATATTAACAAAAACTAATCTTTTATTACAATTCTTTGGCTTGTAATATAACTATGTTGAAGTGTTGTACGCTTTGTACGCATTGAGTAATTTTCTTTAAAATTTAGACAATGTTCTGGTACATAAGTCCTATCGTGATGTTTTAATTTCAAACATCAAAAGGAACTTTCAAAAGACTTCCTTCACAAGCATAAGAAAATTATGCACTGTGATTTTCAAGCCCACATTTTAATTAAACATTTTAAATGCAACATGAATTTGTTCAATGTTATTTCTCTAAATGCCAATTTAAGAATGAGCAGGATTCTCTGTTTTCAGGTATGACTGTTAACTCAGACCTAATGGCAGCAAAGGGGGACAAAGGGGAAGCGGGAGCCAAAGGACAGCCTGGGAAGATTGGACCCAGTGGACCACAGGGCTTGCCGGGCGTCCCTGGCCTAATGGGACAACTGGGAGACAGGGGAGAGTCCGGTGTCCAAGACAGCACCCTGCAGTCTGCCTTTAGCATGACCAGGCGCACCTATGAACACCCAGTTCGAAATAGCCCAGTGCGCTTTGACACAGAGATTACCAACATCAACAAACATTTCAACGTAACCACCGGAAAGTTTACCTGTCACATAGCTGGTTCGTATTACTTTGTCTACCACACCTCGGCTCGCTCGTCCCTATGTGTCCTGCTAAAGAAAGATGAGGAGCTTCTAGCGAGCTTCTGCGATCATTCATACAACCCCTTCCAGGTGAGCTCTGGTGGCCTCGTGGTGTATCTCAGGACAGGCGAATCAGTGTGGCTGGAGACGAACGAATATAACGGCTTAACTGGCACTGCAGGAAAGCAAAGTGTCTTCTCTGGGTTCCTGCTATACCCACACTGAAAATAGTTGACGTAGATCTACTGGGGGACATGCTTTTAAATAACCCAAGTGCTTTAATTCAACTGGACCATCTATATTAGTGAGAATCCAGAAGCCAAGTAACTTATATCGTGTGATTTGCTTTGTACCTTTAATGATTTTTAGGTGACTATGGAAATACCTCTATCCATAAAAAATAAAGCCTTGAGACCCATTTATTTTTGATATTTGTGTCATTATGTTTTTTTTTCTATTTTATTTTCCTAGTTTTATTTTTCTGTTCAGGGTCATTCTGATGAATGCTTAAAATTCATACCTGCGTATGAATGCTTTACCTTACGGAAAAACTGTCTCAGTGCAGCATGGTGCAGGCAGGAAAAACTGTGACAATCCACTGAAATCTCCGAGACAGGGGTCTACCGACAAAGCTGAACACACTCGGGAAAAGCACAAACATAAAGGGACAGGAAAAATAAGGAACAAACTAAAGGAACCACCATATAACAAAACATGACCACGACCACGACCACGACCACGACCACGATCACAACACACAGAAACATGAGTACACAACAACGACGGCTAACAAGCAGTGTGAGGTCATGCACTAAAATACACACAGAAAACCAGGGAAAACAAGGGACAGGTGTAACTCATAATCATTTAACCAATCAAGGGAGGCGCAGGAACATCAAGAAACAGGTGGGAAGCAGTAACACTAAATGAACACAGAACTAAGGGACCTAGCAAAGACTAAGGTGAGAGAGAGACTAGGACCATAAGACTACAGAGAAATAACAGAGCAGAAGCACGGAAGACCTAGAAATTTGAAAACACTAACTAATAAACACTAGGAAACAAAACCCCAATAAACATTGAATGACAAGTGAAGTGGACCTTCGGCCAACCCCAAACCCACCACTGGACGGTACAGCCTCCAAGCTGCTGACTTTGTGAGCTATGCAGTGGCCCAGAAAACAGGAAGATTACAAGAGGGGGGAGGGGAGCAGGATGACCAGCGACACCTGCAGGGCACGTACTGTAGGACAGGGACAGATGGGCCCCGACCCTGACAGAAACATGAAAAAACAAAGCAAATTATCCAAACAGTAATAATAAGGGAACGTAGAGAAGAGGTAACAGATGTAGGTGGATAGGTCTGGACTACATTGGTAGAAGATAGAATCCACAACATCAGAAACTTATGAGAAAGTTTTGGTGGTTCAGTGTGTAGCGTAGATGTTTATGATATAATTTATTAATGTATTATTGTCATTTCTTTATTTAAAATGCATATAATGACATTATTGGCCACTGATGTTTTTATTAGTTAATTCATTTCACTTGGAGTTAACTAACCCTGCTCATCCTATTGGATAAGTGTATTTTAGTGTGAGATTTTAGTGAATGCAAGGTTTTACAGGAATGCATTAGTCACAATATAGCAGGACTGACTGTAAGTTTGCTGTTTGCCGCTATAAAAGGAAGAGGTTTAATTCTGGGGGGTACAGAGACATTGTATCTTCTCAGCCATTGGATGGCACTTTACACTGCAGAAGGACAATGACCTAAAACAGACTGATTATTCCTGATCTCTTGCTGAAGACAAGAATAAAGGTGAAAGGCCTTGAGACTTGAGATGGGGGGGCTGCAGAACATCGGCAGAGAAGAAACCCAGTGCCTAGTGATGCCTGTGGATTCCAGACGTCGGGCTGAAAAGGACTGCAGAGGATTTGCAACAAGTATCTAACATGACAATTTTCTTTAAGACTATATTAATTTGTCCAAATTCTTTTGGTCCTTTAAAATGGAGGGAGCTATGTATAAAAACGGGTTCAAATCCTGCACTATCTATAGCCTTTATTTAAAGCTCACAGTCTGCATTTAAAGTGCATATTGAGTGTTTTATTTTGCATCCATAGTGATGGTGTAGAGAGCCAAAATAAAATGTGTCACTTAACAAATACTTCTGGGCTGTACTGTATACCAAATACAACATTTAAAAAAAAAAAAAAAAAAAAAAGAACTGACTACACAAACTGGTATAAACATTATTTTAAAATCAAAATAGTTCATATTCCTCCTAGCGTCAGCAATAAAACATACAGTACATTTCACTTGTTTCCTGTCCTGGAAAAATAAAATAACGGAATTGAAAATAGCTGTGAAAAGCAAAATGATATAAAGGGAAGCTTGACCAGTATCATTGTATTTTTCATAATCACTAATTTCTTATGTTTCTCTATTGTGCAACAGTAATGTTCCTCATTTTCATTCTTTCAGCTAAGATCCCAGGACAGATGTCAAATTAGATTTCTTCCGAAGAGCAGATCCTGTGGAAGACTTGGTAAGATAAAACCGTGAATAGATTTAATTCTGCGTTGTTTTTCGTTATGCAAGTCCTTTCTATTTAAAACGTATTAATACAACGAAAAATAAACATGTAGCCATTAAAGATACACGTATACATACTGTAATAATATATAATAGGTATGTCTATTTCTATGGTGAGTCACACATAGACGTAGAGACGCCTGAAATAAAGCGTGCTTGTGAGGTTTTCCCCCGGTGTGTCCTCTGTAGAGATGTCAGTGACGGCGGTGGCTCTGCTTGGCGTCCTGATACTGCTGGCGGTGCAGACAGCCGCTGAGACCTGCGATGCCTACAGGGGGTATCCTGGAGTTCCTGGTATTCCAGGGCCTCATGGACCAGATGGGAAAGATGGTCTGAAGGGAGAGAAGGGAGACAATGGTAATGGCACCTCACGCTTTCTAATTAGATGAACAATACTGTAGGTTTTTGCTAAGTACCATCTGTATTGTGTATGTGTGCCTATGTATATGTATGTATGTATGTATATACATACATACATATACACACACACACATATGATTTTATCATACATATGAATTTTGTTCTATATTTTATGTTTATTATATAATATACATTGTATTGTATATTTTGTTTTATGTTTTATATGTGTTAATTAATTAGTGACGCACAGCTCTGGAAAAAATTGAGACCACTCAATATTTTTTTAAGAATTTTTTAATCCTGGTTTAATCCTGGTTCTGCTGGCTGAAGGTTATACTGAGGAAGGCTGCTTCCAGGCTCAAAGTTTCTAAGACAGCAGTACACAAGAATAAGGTGAAGCAGGAGACACTGGGAACGACCAGAAACCAGCAGAGGGCAGAAGTGACTTTTTAATAGCAGAGATGATCGTCGACTTATCCGGCAGTGCCTCATAAATTGGAAGATGACCTCAAGTGACCTTCATTAAGATTGGGAATCATTAAATGCAGGTGTGAAGTGCACTGCTAGGGCAATCCATAACTGGCTCCTATAACCAGGACTGAAGTCCCATAAAGCAAGGAAGAAGCCCTTCGTCAATGAGAAGCAGGGAAGAGTCAGACTGAAGTTTATTATTAATTATTTATACAGAAGCATACCCATAAAATGAGAAATGAGTGAAACTGAAAATTTTACTGTGGTCTCTTAATTTTTTCCTGTATATATAAATAATATAGCCTTATGTGTCAGGCATTATATGTTGAAAATGTTATTTATAGTTATTAATTATTTTGCATTCTTTGGGTCTCCTCACCAAAACGAGTCTTGAGCCACAATAGGCACTGAAGCCATCATTGTTTTTGCATTGTCTGCTTTTGCTGAATACATGCAGGAGACAATAGCGGGATTCTGAAAGGTCAGAAAGGAGAACCCGGCCCGATGGGACCTCCGGGAAGGACAGGCCTGCCGGGGTCACCTGGCCTGCCGGGCCCAACGGGTCAGCCGGGCGCCAAGGGAGAGAAAGGAATGCCCACTGGCATCGCATCGCTGGAGAGGTCGGCCTTCTCCTACAAAAAGACATCATCCAGGCCGTCCAGGAAGGAACATGGGGCAATCAGATTTGACAAGGCTATTAATGCAGGCAACACTCTGACAAATGGAGTTTTCACTAGCAAGGTCAAAGGTTTCTACTACTTCACGTACCATGTGACCAGCCGCACCAAAGCCTGCCTTGAAATAAAGAAAAACAGTGTATCTCTGGTAAGTTTCTGTGACTCATTACAGAAGGGATACTTTGTGATGTCAGGGTCAGTGGTGGAATTATTAGACGTTAATGATGTAATCTCATTACAGCCCACCGAGGACAGTACTATCATGGGCACACAAGGTGCGGACAGTATTTTCTCAGGCTTTCTGCTGTTCCAAACCCCTTAGAACAGTGTGTCTATACTGCTAGATTTATTTTTTTAGCAGTTAATGGTTTTATGTTTTTCTCACTCATTTTCATTTCAATTTAATAAAATGTACGCAAGAAACACCAGTCTGATTGGTACAACTGAGGTCACAATTCAACCCATTCATCTCTTCACAAAATAAATATGTTTATGATATGTTTAAATGACCCCTGTTTGTGTGTTTGGACTGAGGGTAAAAACATTAGCTGTCGACTGCTCTGAATGCCATGCTTTATTAAGTTTATATGAAAGCTTGCAGAATAAAACGAATAAAAGAAAGCTTCAGGTGACTCGTGACTGACTTATACACTTGAAGTGTACCGCAAAAATACAATCGCACTTTATTCATTCAATGCGACTGGAAATATCCAGATGTTTAAGGCGACGGCATTTGAAATGCCTACTGCGACGGTGGCTCGGGCCAATCTGGATTGCGCAGCTTGCATATCATCTCTGACAGCATGCGATTGCAGAGCGCGGCGTACGGATTCAGAAGCATGGCCTGCTGCCGGGCGAATGCGCTTCCCAGTGCGGCGGCCCGCTCGAAGTCCAGCCTGGCTTCCTCGCTGCGGCCAGTCAGACGGAACAGCAGCCCCCGCTGCACCAGAGCTTGGCAGGCGGCTCGGCCGGCCCCCCCGCTTAAGCAAATGGCCTGCTGCAGGTCCTCCATCGCTCCTGAAAGGAATACCGCAATCCGTCCCAGTGCTCCACACTTCAAAGCATACAGTCATGGCCCTTAACTGTAAATGACGTAAAAATTACCCTAATACCATGCTTTGAATCAAAACATTAGTTACTCTTTTAAAAATACAGCCTCTGCCCAGGTTACGATAAGGTTACGTTCCGATAAACCTATCGTAAGTTGAAAAAATTGTAAGGTAAAAATGCATTTTAATACATTATTAAATTATGTAACTATGTAATTATGTAAATTATTACAGTTGGGTAAAATCATTAACACAAAGCCTATTTTATAATAATGTGTTGAATATTTAATGAAATTGATCGAATAATGTACTGAAAGTGAAAAACATTTAGTCATCGTAAAGTCGAAATTCCGTAACATGGACCATCGTAACCCAGCATCTGTATATAAATTCAGGGGTTGATCTAACTGTCTGTACGCAGACAAACATCCTTGGCAAAATGTTTTTACTGAGAAAAGAAATTCATTAGAAAAACTATGTAGGCTACATTTTTAAATACCACGCCCATGGCAAATATTACATTTTGGTCAAACTGTTGGACTGCAGCTGGAAACCACAAAGACACAACATATTCAAAGTCCACACACCCAAAGTCAGGGTATGGGGTCCAAACCCACAACCCAGAAGGTGTGAGGCTGTAGTACTATCCACTAAGGCACCATGCCATAATACAGTATATGCTGGAACCAATATGGAACTGAAGACAAACTGCACAAGGGCTGAACCTAAATATCCGTACTTGTGTTCTCGTGTACCCGTTTTACAGTATGAAATCTTCCACTGCCGAAGACCAGTTCAATACCAAGAACACAAGTTCAGAGGATGGTAAAAATCCCTGGATGTTGGTCTCCGCTCCAAATATCAAGGATACATGACTTGCATCCTCGCCCAATGAGACCAATCCCATAATTCACTGTGTCCCAAGTCAGTTCTTGGAACACAAGTTCGCAAGACCGGTCTTGCCAAACCACAGGTGTGGTCTTTGCGTTCTTAGTATTGAGATTCACCTAAGGACTAACTAGCAACATACCTGCTGGGTCCCCCTGGAGTCTGCGGGCCTGTGCTCTGTTGTTGTATGCAGAGGCCCTCTGAGGTAACAAACCGATTGCCTGGTTAAAATGTTCTAGTGCCTTGGACATGTCGCCGGACTCCGCAGCCGACACCCCTTGGATTTCCAGGTCTTTCACCTGTTTCAGGAGCTTTGCGTCAAAGGCACCGTCTTTGGAAGAGTAAAAAGAACGTGTTTTCAGTTATTAATCGTTAAAATTATTAATAGCTTACAAATAAAAGTGGTAAAAGTTATGCGACAGCATTCCATCTTCCAGCTGCTTATCCGAGTCAGACAGGCTGGGGGGTCGGAGCCTGTCCCAGCCGACACATGGCACGAGATTGGGGTCACCGTGGAAGGGATGCCAGTCCGTCACAGGGCACACACTCAACCAGACACACACAATGACAAGCAAGTTTTATGGGTAATTCAGACACGGGGGATATGCAAGTCCCACACCTGCAACAAACAGCAGACTATACGAAACGTGACACAGGAAGCTTCTATATGAACAACTTGGGAAATAACACACTTCAAAGAAGACTGGCAATAAAATAAGGCACACTCCTGGGCAAAGAGAAGGGCCGAATACAAAAACGGTTTAGATAATTAACAAGAACTAAAAAAACAGCATTCGCTCCTCACTGATCACTGTCAAGGAGAATTCACTTACATAGTCTTCTTGTATGCAAAGATAAAATCATGAAAACACGCCTGGGTGTTCAAAAATTTCCAAAATATCTTCTGGCTGTTTGCAATGGGAACATAAAAAACGCAATGTATTGCAATTCTGGCTTTGGCCCTATTTTTTCTTTCTTGCCCAGGAGTGTACATTAATAAGATATAATAACAACAGAGACTCTCCCTCACCGCAGGGACTTCCGGCAACACAAGACTGGATAACTTTAAAAGCAATGTGTATTCATTTAATTTAAATAACAAAAACGGAAATTTACCATCATCTGTCAGATCCTCCTTTTCATTTAAACCAACAACATCGCCGAAAGGCGTCGTTGGGTTGAATATGGCTTGAAGAACAGCTTTGTCGCGCTCTGTGGCCATTTATTGGGGAATAAGGAACGAAAGTAAAGGACTTAATTCACAGCGAAACGCGCCTCGTTTATTCCACGGACAGAATCCTCCCAGGATCTGAACCAATCGTATGGGGGGTGGAGGCTAAAACATGCTTAAATTTTAAGGTCGTCAGCTCACATCTGTATTTAATTATGTAACATGTTCCTTACAGTGCTGCAAACTGCGTCTTTCCTTTGTGGCTAATGATTTTATTCTGTTTATTTGGAGTATAGGAATTGTGTCGCATTACTAAATAAAATGCATCGTATCCGAATCCAAAGTTATCTAGTGCTTTTAGATTATGACAAATCTAAAATATTATATCAAATAAACTTCCAAATTTGTGCCCCGCCGACTTTTAAATTAAATAAACCAGAATAACAGCTACAATAACGAAATATTCGAGTGCGCAGATTTCATTATACAGTACAGAAATGCAATTTCTCATTGCAACAACTTTAAGTTGTTTTCTGAAATTTAGAATTTACAATGGATGCCGTTGAGGCTGATATATATGTTCTGGTTTTAGTATGATTGTAAGATCTTTACATTTCTGAAGATAAGAAAGTAAATAATATATCGTGTACAAAGTAAAGATGTATTTCAATGAGCTGTAAAAACATGTTCCCACATATATGCTGAGCTCTCATTGGCCGCTTTTCCTTCAGTCTCTGGCCAAACTCCCCCAAAACCATTTCAGAGGTGTTTAGGTCAGGTGACCAGGTCATGTGATGTGTCACTGTCAGTCTCCTTTGTTGCCGCTTTGGCGTGGCCATACTTTTGCCTGGTACTGTTTATACATGTATTAAAATGTCATGACTGCATAGTTCTGTTCGTGTGCCTATGATTATAGGTTCCCTTGGAAGTTCACCGTGAGAAGCTAGCTAGAGTGTTGTATTTAGTTTAGGTTGCAGTTCTTGCCCCAGGTATGTTGTTGTGACCCCACTGGCTGCTGTGGCACCATGATGTTAATTAACGTGCTGTGTGGGAGTGATTTCTCTGCCTTCCTTCAGCATTGTATGACCTTTACTGAACGAGGCTGCTGGATCAGATGATGACTAAGTTGTTATGCTTCATTTCCCACAGTCAAATAACATTTATTCCTCCTCATTGTCTTGATCTTTCTGAAGGCATATAAGTTCGGACGTCATTTTTAATGTAAAAGCTAATTTATTTGCACAGGAAATTCCTTTGCCGAAAGCATTTTAAAATGCTAAGGTCTTGTCTGTGCACGAACTGTGTTTATCAAATGGAAACAGAAAAAAATGTTGTGACCGACTGCTTAAAAGCTAAAGGTCAATGGATATTTTAAGCTGAATTCTATGAGCGCCGTGACACTGACTGTCCAATAGGAGACAAGGACTAACAAGGGAACTCTGCACTGGAAATGTGTTGAGAGGAAAAGCCAGTGATTCAATGCGTTATGTTCTCTGCATACTTTGAGTTTTGGTAGCACTGGTGTTGTAGGTACAGTAGGTGCAGGGCTGGCTCTAGGTGTTCTGCCTTCCTTCTGCAGCGCTGGCTGTGAAGGTCCTCCATGACTGGCTGCTCAATCTTGATGATGCACTGTGCTGATCTGCCCACACCACACTGAACTTTCTGGCCATGGGTAGCACAGCATCTGACCCAAGCTGTGATGCTGCCAGACAGATACACTCAGTGGTGCTCAGTGGATCATTTATATTAAAAACCTTTCAGTAGTACAGGGTTTCTGGCTAGTTGGTGTCTGTTTCACAAGAAAAGTAGTGAAACATTAAAAGCAAAGTAAATAACTATAATATCACATATTCTAATTGTTTCATGCGCTCCTATAGGCTGGGCCAGCCCTTGGTTGGTGTACCTGTAAGTTTTTAACATTGTGAAGCCTGATCGCCTCCGTCTTTCGTGTGTGCTTGCTGCTCGATGCGCTTCTGTTTGCTTCCTTTATGCTTGTTTTGGAGTAAGGAGGAGAACCTGCAGAAGCAACGTGAGATATGACACGAAACAGAAATGCTTTTTCCAAAAGTCATGAACTACTGGTACAGTCCTTGGCCAGATTCATCTCGTTTTCCATGTAACTGCTGCTTCTAATATTGTTACTTTACCATCTGAGGATTTGTAGAATGACGTCTTGAATTCTTCAGCAGGTCAGCTTACTAAACCGCAAGCCGTGTAGGTGATAAACACTGAAAGTGGCTTTGGCTCAAAGAGCCTGCTACAGCAAATTGGTTAATAGCAAACTACTGTATGGACCAAAGGTTAGTTAAAGCCAGACTGGGCACAGGTGGACAGATGGACAGTGACTAACAGATTCGTACCCTCTCTCCGGTCCAGGTCTATAGGGATATTGATTTTGGCTGGCAGCTATCAGCTTAGTGTTCTTGGGCTCAAATCAATTTTTATGACTAGCAGTTTAGAAGTGAAAGTCCCTGCATTTTACTGGATTTTAAATTTCAATATTTTTGGTGTCA